CCCTAATAAAATGTTAAAAAATAAAAAATAAATAAATAAATAAAAAGGAAAAAAAAAAAAGAATATCCCCGATGGATGTCAAGAATCTCAACAGATCCATAGCAATAAAAGAAATAGATAGCATTGTCAGGGGATTACCAACCAAAAAATTCCCTGGACCAGATGGCTTCACAGGAGAATTCTACAAAGCATTCAGGGAAGAACTAACACCAAACCTACACAAACTCTTCCAGAACATAGAAAAAGACGGCAACCTCCCAAACTCCTTCTATGAAGCTACTATAACTCTGATACCGAAACTGGGCAGGGATCCCTCAAGAATCGAGAACTACAGACCAATATCCTTAATGAACACTGATGCAAAAAACCTTAACAAAGACAAGTACAACATGAGTCTGCTGAGGTAAGCTTTAAAAAAAAAGTGCAAAATAGGCATAGGGGAGAAGGTACTGTATACAAACATTCCTGGGGTGAGGTCCAGGTAGTATGGCAGTGGCCCCATCAAATCCAGGGATATGTATGGTACCCAATTAAAAAGGAAGGGGAAAAAAAAAAAAAAGAAATGGGTAGCATGGGAACAGGGCACTCACCTACCCAAGGGGAGGGTATTGTTTATATCCCCACAGGGAGAGACCAGACGTCAACCAGTTCCTCCAAGATGTGAAAGCAACATACCAGCATGAAGCAGGGAATGAGTAGAGAGGTCTGAGGGGCTGGCTCCAATCCCAACTACTTGTACAGCCACCCTTCCCCCCCGAAGAATTTACTTCAGAGGAAGCACTGAAGCTACAGCTCAGGGAGAGGGACATGTTTGATCAGAGCACACGGGAGCAAATGAAGGGGCAGGAAGGGGGAGTTGAACACATCCTGGCACACCAAGCCCTGAGGACGATATTCCTGCTCAGAGTAGCCAAAGAAGAGTATGGCCTGCCGTCTACGAGACATGACATCCCTCACTGACCCATAGCCCTACAGGGACAACACTGGAGACACAGTGTGGAAATTGCACCCGATCTGACCCCACCACACTGAGACAAAGCACTAAGGGAGTGCAACAGAACAGCAAGGGGAACAGAGCAAGGAAATCCTGCGGGAATACCGAAAATAGACTTTGGGGCCAGGGCGTGGCACCCCCTCAGACTCAACCAGAACACACTCCTAAAGGTCAACAAACAGACCTTGATTTAAAGGCTGTTCTTTTTTTTTGTCATTAGTTTTTTTGTTTTGTTGCTTTGTTTGCTCTGTCTTGCTCTGTCTTGTTTT